TAAGCCTTTGATCAACTTGACTTTTTCCTATAATGAAAGTTAGCACATGTCACATCTATAGTATCTCTGTGATACTATAAAGGGCTTTATCTCTCAAAGGCAAGAAAAACATACATGTATTCCAACTTATGTGAGGTGCCGGAAAGAGCCGTTGAGGAAGGCGTTATTTGTCACTAGCTGTGAAATGCCCTGGGTCTCCTTCAAAAACTTTCCTTTCTATCATTTGCTTCAAATTTGTTGCGCAAATGCCATGTTCCACTCTACCCTCATACAGACTATATGCAAGTCATGGCTCCCATTCGTTTGCCGAGTGTGCGCAGTTTGTTGGATATCATCGACAACCTTTTTGGAGATCCCATTCTCACATATTCGAATAGATCAAACCGGGAAAATGCCTTTCTAACCTTGGCGGAGGAGCAAGCGGAAGCGTCTGGGAGGTGAGTCAACATTATATTTTGTCATCTGCGACTTTGGGCGAATACCAGTCAGTTCAAGAGTTGCGCAACTTTGAGTGCGAATCTACAAGTGACGGACTTGGAAGCGTTCACCCCGTTCGGCTCTGTGAGAGAGTTCAGAAAGCTAACTATGATCGGTTTATCATAGTGCCAACCCAAGAGCCCAGCTCACCCAAAGACAGCTTGAGCTCCAATCCCCGTTAGAAACATTCCCAATATACCCTCAGGTGCAGGAATATTGGATTAGGGGCACATCCATGGGCGGAGGCCAGTGTAACAGTCTTTTCCCATGGAATAGACAACATGTGGGCTCCAAATCCTGGGAGCCAGGGAACCAACCACCAGCTCCAGGTAAGCCGGGGTTCTAGACCATCCCGGGGTAGGCGTAACCAAGTATTCGCCTTTCTCGCGAACCCGTCGGTATGTGATTTTTCCTTTTCAAAATTTCGCCTATCCAGGGGAAAACAGTACCCCAAAAAGAAGTTGGAGAAAAGCTAACCCAGGGTATTATCCATTTGCAACTAGATTTTCTTCCGAATATCGGTAAACCCAATGAGACTGCCGGGAAACAAGACGCCGATGCTTGAAGCCTTACCTGCCGCGATTTTCGAGAATATCGTTGCTAGACTTGATGGCGCATCTCAAGTGTGCTTGGCTCTCACATCTAAAACTTTGAGCCATGCAGTGCATGGGGTTAATACCAAGAGGACAATTTACTATAGCGGAACCGAGAGGGAACGGCTTCTATGCTGGAGGTTGGCGCAAGAAATGCCAAGGACTTTAAAGCTGTGCTATACGTGCATGAAATATTACCCCACAGATCCGGGGTGGTGGAGAAGAAGGAAAGGGTGGGGTTCAGCAAGGACAGACAGCCCAATCTACGGGAGAAATCTCGCAGATTACGAGTTCAAAAACGTGGTATGCCCCGAATGCACAGCTCAGAGCATGTGGATCAACATAAACCTAGTGCACAGCAACTTGCAACAGGTCATAAGCTTTTGATTGTTTGGTCCTAGTGTTGAAGTTGCAGCATAAGTCGAGAAAGGAGGCCAATAATAAATTGTCCGCTTTAATGGGGATCGTTGAAAATTCCGGAGACATGTCGCAGTATTCCTAGTCCGTGGTAATGTTGAAGTAGGAGCCAAAATGCAATTAGAAGAACACGGCAAACAATTCTAGCCTTGGTCACTCTTCGTT